TAACCTATTTTCTCAAGAGCTGATGCAAGGGACTTATCCCTCCCTGCAAGGCAGCATTACATCAACTGTAATAGAGGAACCCCACAACCTACCTACCTTCCACCAGGCCTCGCCTCTTAGTGACTCTGCTGTCTCAGCACCGCTGGGAACCAACCTGCAGCACACCAGGCTATGGTGTTACAACAAAACCATTCCTAACTCAACACCAGACCTTTCTATATGCAATGCCTCACCACATCCTCACGTCAGGAGAGCAGAATGTGAACCTGCAATAAACTCATTTCACCAAGGTGCACTCCCGAATCATTTCCTCAACAATTAAACAATAGAGCTAGCCTTTGAACACAAGCGTTTTCTTTTTTAAAAAACTCTTATTTATGTGTGTGTATGTTCATGCATGGGCAGGTGTGCTGCATGGTAGATCTCCTGGGGATAGGAGTTACAGGGGCTGTGAGCCTCCCAGTGTGGGAATGTGGGTGATGGGAACTGAACTCAGGTCCTCTGCAAGGCAGTGCATACTCCTTCCTGATGAACTATCTCCGGCTCCTGAATCCCTGCACTCTCCTCTGTCCTGTTATGTCCAATAGCACAAAATCAGCTAATGACTGTGAAGCAATGAAGATCTGACCCAGGGCTCAACTTCTGTCTCTGTACTAGTTTCTTCCTGACCATTAACTAATGCAGTATTTCCCTGGAGTTACTCTCCATGCCCTTCATCTATTCAAATAGGCACACACTCCTGTTTTCCAAAAGAAAACCCCCAGACCTTCCTCCCCTCTACCCAAAGAATGAAAGTCTGTCACAGGTCTACTCATGAATGAAACCTATCACAGGTCTACTCATGAATGAAAGTCTATCACAGGTCTACTCATGATTGAAACCTATCACAGGTCTCCAGGTCTACCCATGTATGAAAGCCTATCACAGGTCTACCCATGAATGAAAGTCTCACAGGTCTACCCATGATTGAAAGTCTATCACAGGTCTACACAAGAATGAAAGTCTCACAGGTCTACACAAGAATGAAAGTCTCACAGGTCTACCTATGAATGAAAGCTTATCACAGGTCTCTGAGTCTATCCATGAATGAAAGTCTCACAGGTCTACCCATGAATGAAAGCCTATCCCAGGTCAAGGCTTCTGGTTTCTTTCTGGCCAAGCAAATGCAGATGGTGTCATCGAGTTCAGACATCAGTACTCAGTTGAGGAATTGTTGACAGCTCCAGAAACAAACCCTGGATGGAGCTGCAAACGCCAGCTTCCCAGATGACTTAGTTTATGCTCCTCTCTGTGTTTGTGTTACAGTCTTTCTGTGCTAATGAGACTGTGAATGTGGTTTAATTAGTGTTTACTGAAAAATAGCTGCACACAGATCAGCCTTCCGAGAGAGTTAGTCAGGATATTGAGGCAATGTTGTTCCCTGTACAAAACAGCTAATAAGTGAGAAGTACTTTATAAGGCTGGGAAAGGACCGGAAGTTGGCTTTGAAGAAGCAGAGCTTTGTTTCCACAGGAAAAGAAGTCACTCCTTAGACAGGTAGGTTTAAACATTAAAATAGTAAACCCCCCATTTCCTCAGGCACCAGATGATTTGCAGATAACAGAACTGTAATGGTGGCGATCTGATTGGAAACACGGCAGCCATCTGATTGGAAACACGGCAGCCATCTGATTGGAAACACGGCAGCCATCTGATTGGATGGATACCATACCAAAGAGCTGAATCCACAGAACTCCTGAAAGGAGAACTTGAAATCGCTTGCAAATTCCAAATCCCACCAAACGTGTTGGCTGTCTGCAAACCTATGCATTATGTATCAACTCCTGTTTCTGAATTCTGGCCACAGGCAAATTGCCAACATAAGAACTAAATGAGGGTTTTAAAATTCTAATACAAGCGAGCCTCTATCTTAGGGAGGATTCTAACTTCCAGGAGAGGGAAGTGAACATTATTGGGATGTTCAGTTTATAAATCCAATCTGTGCTTCATTTGTAAGTTAATTTTTTTTCTCTGTATAAGTGGGTGTCGCTCAACCTCACATTCACAGGGACCTCTAAATGAGGTCTCCCTGCAGCTGTCGCTCACGCTAATGGCAGGAAAGTCCACCTCATTGCCTCAACCCCTCACAGGTTGCCTCATGGGAGTCAAAGCAGAGCCAGGGTCCAGCTGCAGGGCAGAACTCAGATTCTAAAAGGAGCGAGACTGAGTGCCAGAGCTAGATGAGGGGACAGGCTTCATCGTTTCCCCCCCGCACAGCAGGTCACCATTAACAAAGGTGTGTGTTGCAAAATAACCAGCGAAGAAGCAGCTTTGAAGATGTCTGAGATGATAAAATGCTAATTAGCCTGCTCTGACCATCACACTGGGCACACGGCTATAGAAACATCGCATTGTAAGCCACATATATATAATAACTATGAGTTAATTACAGAGACAATAAAACCAACCAGTCAGGCGATTCCTAAGGATTCTAAGGTTTCCCCATCTATGGATGTTAGAAAGGTTTGAGCCCTGGGAGTCGCAAACACTGCCCTTGTAGGAATTTCTTCCGAGTAAGGGCCTCAGACAGAGGCCCTGACACCAAGCTGCCGCTCTAACCACTGGGTGGTTTCTAGTGTGACCAAGAGCATGGGAAAGCCAGTTGCCTCCTGGCAACGCCTCCTCTTCCAGGATGATCCTGCACGTCCATCTGCTAATTAGTTATCGTTCTGTCTACCAGCAATGTTTTTCCCACTTGTTCCTTTGGCCTTAGTTCACAATAGGCCCAGTGGGATGAGCCCCAGTGAAGCAAAGCCAGCACCTCCCAGTATAATCTGCTGCAGGGCAGACAGTATGTGTGTGTGGGGGGGGGGCGGTGATAAATATTCCAATGTGGGAAATCAGTCAGAATTAAGATTGGGCTGTATTGTCCTCAGGTCACCTGGAAATGCAAGGGCGCAGACTCTTCTGTGACAAAGGGTGTATTTTGACTACAGTCCTAGCTAGTGTTGATGGTCACCATGACAAAGTCTCTAGTCAATTTTGAGAGGAATTGCCTAGATCAGATTGGCCTGTGTGTGTATCTCTAGAGGATTGCCTCAATTGTTAGTTGATACAGGAGGCCCCAGACCAAATACATCTTGCCTACTCAGCATCCAGGCATCCCAGCCCACTGTAGAACAAAGCTCTCAGCTGTGGGTCAGGACTACACATGAGATCCCTCAAGGGAATGGGTAGCATGCGAACACATGGCATCGTGTAAAAGGCTTCTCGTACCAAAGATTAATTCAAGGATGGGAGCGCTGGCTCAGGGGTTATAGCACTGGCTGTTCTTGCAGAGGACCACAGTTCAGTTCCCAGCCCCCACATGTCAGCTCACAATTGTCCGCAATTCCAGTTCCAGAGGGTCCAATGCCCTCTTCTGACCTCCTTAGGCACCAGGCCCACACAGATACACATTGTGCAGGCAAAATTTTCAAACACATAAATCTAATGTAATTTTTAACTCAAAGTCAAACATATAATGAATCCGAGATGTTTCCGGCGGAGCTTGTGTGAGTTGCGCCGTGGAACGTCACTGCAGCGTTGGCTCCGGAGGCTCAATGTGCACACTTTGCACCATACAGCCCGCTGCCACACCACACAAGGCCAGTGATGTCTGCCTGAAATAACACAGCTGGATTCAAGTCTCCTCCATGTTGGTCTCCAGCGTGTCTACTCTGTACACAAAGGCTTCCATTCTGGTGAAAGCAGACAGGTTTAATCACAGACAACAAAGATGCTTCATAGCTTCCTTCTGCCTACCTTCCTCATATTTGTCTGGAATCAGTGTATCTCTGGGTTAGACTGTGCGAGGCAAACAAGCACACCCATCTCATTAGTAGCTAATTCTGCTGTTACCTTTAGCAACTGGGAAATGTTTATAAAAGAATTGTTTTCAAATGTCTGGTTTTTTATAAGTAAGTGTTTCATCTGCATATCTATGTTATACACTTGTGACCCATAGTCATGTAAAACTGTTTTGGGCAAGAAGAGCCGCAGTGGAAGGCCCGCTGGAGAGTATCTGCAGCCTCCTCGTGGACAGTGCCGCCCACGGAGCAGAGGCACAACCATGCCATGCGGTTGGGAGAGCATGGAACCAGATATCACTGGTCTGGATGATGCCCAAAACTAAAAATTCACAAAAGTACAATTCTGCTGGATATGAATCACTTTCGTACCATTGTCAAGTTGAAAAAATAATCTGGGAACTAGGTTTAATAACGTATTTAAATATGTCCACACACACACACAGTGTGGAAGCACTCACACCGAAATACTAGCTGCGTTTGTCTCAGCGACTCGGGTTTGAAGATGCTGCTGCTTTGTTCCGTGCGACGCTGTGGTTGTTTACTCTTTGGTTGTGGGCACGTGCCACTGTTAGGATAAGATGATACAAGGTTTTGTTCCCTAGGCCATAATCACAGGGCGGGAACAGCTTTCTGAAGCACCATCTTCACCATCTACACGCCAAGTGGCCTGTAGTCTAACTGGAACAACAGAGGTTCACACTGGGTTTCCATTTTCCTTCTTCTTGCACTATGGCTTCCAGAAGTACACGAGTCACACTTTACATGGAAGCATACTGAGAATGAAACATGCTAAAATCTCTCTTTGTCTCTCTCTCCCTTCTTCCCTCTCCCTCTTCTATTCCTTTTGTTCTACTTAAAGAATTTAAAATTAAAACTCTTGCAAATTGATAAATTAAGAATGAATTGTCTGCCTTCCTTCTACATGCCTATCTGACCATCTCTTCACCCATCTGACCGACCATCCAACCATCCATCCATCCCTTTCTGGTTGGTTCTAGCTAACACGACTTTTCTGCATCTTTGACTGACTTGTTTTCGATCATTTTCTTTAGCTATCGGGCTAATATAGAGTTTGTTTTTCCCTCTCCCCAAGGAACAATCCCAGATGATCATATGACCCTAAAAGATAGCTCTAAAAACTATGATATGTATTTTCTTTCCTCTCTGCAGTTAAGTTCTTGCCACCAGGATGGGGAAACAGAACAGCAAACTGCGCCCTGAAGTCATGCAAGACTTGCTGGAAAGCACGGACTTCACTGAGCATGAGATCCAGGAGTGGTACAAAGGCTTCTTGAGAGACTGCCCCAGCGGACACTTATCAATGGAAGAGTTTAAGAAAATATACGGGAACTTTTTCCCTTATGGGGATGCTTCCAAATTTGCAGAGCACGTCTTCCGCACCTTCGATGCAAACGGAGATGGGACAATAGACTTTAGGGAGTTCATCATCGCCCTGAGCGTAACGTCGAGGGGCAAGCTGGAGCAGAAGCTCAAGTGGGCCTTCAGCATGTACGACCTGGATGGCAACGGTTACATCAGCAAGGCAGAGATGCTGGAGATTGTACAGGTAGGGCCCCTGGCCTGGCAGAGATAAGGGCATTTGTCACAAGACCCAGATGGGCCCTGGGAGAGCGCGGGTCTGTGTTTATAAGATGGTGTGTTGCCAGGACAGTTAATATGGTTCACTTAGTGGTTCTGAAAATTTTGAATTTGCATGCAACAGACATTACATAAAAATCTAAGTTGGTTGGAATGTCTTGAAAACTTAGGAGCTCCAGCTACACTGCCTACACATTCTTAACTGTCAGTAGTCACCACACTGCGGAGGGACGGGGCTCTTCTGTTGGCCACCCTTGGTACAATCCCCCCATTGATCAGCTACAACAGCCTGTCCAGACTTGGAGTTTGGGGTCTTGTCTTCCAAAGTTGTGTCAGCCCCGAGTTGGGTGCCCACCTGCATTTTACAGGGACTAACTCTGTGGCTTTGATCTCTTGGCCAGGAGAAGCGTCTTCACCTATAAAACAGAACTGTCATGTCATGGGGTTAAGATTAGAGATGATTCTCCATATCACTGTTCTGTTGCTGTGAAGAGCCCCCATGACCAAGGCAACTCTTACAAAAGAAAGCATTTAGTTGGGGGCTTGCTTACCAATTTGGGAGGTTAATTCATGGTCATCATGACAGGAAGCAGACAGGCAGGCACTGGAGCAGTAGCTGAGAACCTTACATCTTGATCCAAAGGCAGAGAGAGAGAGACTGGGCCTGGTGTTGGCTTTTGAAACCTCAGAGCTCACCCCCAGTGATACACCTACTCCAACAAGGCCACACCTCCTAAATCTTTCTAAACAGCTCCGCTATGTGTAGACCAAGCTTTCAAACATGAACCTATGGATGCTGTTGTCATCCAAACCACCACCCCTGCCTAGCCCAGGGCCAGCCACATAGAAAAGACGGTTGTCATTAATTTATAGGTTTGTAGACTCTTAAACAAGAGCAGGGGCTGGACTCGAAGCTTTGCCCCATCAGAGGTACAAATAGATCATCATTTTCCTAGGAGACAGTGCATCTGGCCTCCCCGAACCACCCCCTCCGGGGACTTGCTGATAGGACGGTGGCAGTTGCAGAGTGCTAAGCAGTGGGTGGGACCCAGAGACAAGCCTAAGGAGGAGGTCAGGAGGGCTTCAGTGGCAGGTGTTATTAAGGACTAGGTGGATGGCCAAGCCATTGCGGTCTAGGCAGGTGAGGGGAGCACAGGAAGGTAGCATACATCAGCAGAGAGCAGGGTTTCTTAGAGGGCTCAGTTCAGAGGTCCTATTCCCCTGGGGACAGCTGGACAGATGTCCTACTTAGATAGAGTGGCTGCCCTGGGAAAACGGTGGAGCACTGAATGGGAAGGGGTGTAACAAGGGAAGAGTGCAGCTAGCTGGCGGAGAACGTCAGGGACCATGACAATGGAAACCAGACAGAGCTGAAAAGACTACTTTAGAGCTGTGACTGAACCTGGCAGCAAGAACAAAGGGTGGAGCCTGCAGGGGCGTTAAAGGGACAGCACAAGCGTTGGGAAGATGAGGGACCAGGGGTCTCCAGGACACCACCTCCCCCAGCAATGTCTCCCAGCTCTGCTAAGCACTTCTCTTTTCTGACTGTTCACTAGTAACTGTCCCTTCACCAGCGGGTAATGAAATTAAAAAGTTAGATCAAAATAATCCCTTAGTGATATAGATCTTAGCAGAAATAAAGGTTGTCTGTCCTTCCCTGCGAGGGTGGACATCAAATGTAAAAGATGGGCAGATAAAGGGCTTGAGAGATAGGTCAGCAGTTAAGAAGAGCTGCTTATTCCTCCAGAAGACCTGGGTTCAATTCCCAGCACAAACGGCAGTTGACTACCATCTGTAACTCTAGTCACAGAAGACCCAATGCCCTCTTCCGGCCTCCACAGGACATACATGCAGGCAAACACCCATACCTGTACAATAAAATAAAAATATTAAGAGAAAGTTATTCATTATTCCATCCTACTCACTACTGAAAATTTTTAAATGACATATTTCCTGACTCTTACACTGCTTTAAAAATTCAGTTCTATAAAGTATATGTAATTTTCTATCTTGCCATTTCACCAACCAAAAAACACAGTATTGGTGTGTTTATAAAAATGTCATAAAAAGGGGCTGGAGAGATGGCTCAGAGGTTAAGAGCACTGCCTGATCTTTCAAAGGTCCTGAGTTCAATTCTAACACCCATATGGTGGTTCACAACCATCTATAATGAGATCTGGTGTGTGCAGGCATACATGCAGGTAGAACACTGTATACATAATAAATAAGTAATTTTAAAAGTCATAGAAATGTTTAATAAAGATTGGCAATGACTACATAATAATCCAACAGTATATTATAATTACTTAATTTTTTTACTGCTGGATATTTAGGCTACTTCCAGTTTTCACTTTTAGACAAAATAGTTCATCTTTTAAAAATAAAATAAATCAATAAAGTTTTTTATTTGTAGGATAATTTTCTTGGCCTGGAATCCTGTAGTATGAGGAGTGAGGCCCCTTTTGTTCCATCCCACTCAGCTAGCTTACACCCGTAGGAGGAGGGCATGGGCTGCATCCTGCAGCCCAGCCTGCTTAACCCCAAAATAACAAAGAAATTGTATTAATTTAATTGCTGCCTGGCCCATTCTATCTAGCCTCTTCTTGGCCAACTCTCACATATTGATGTAACCCATTTCCGTTAATCTGTGTATAACCATGAGGTCGTGGCTTACCGGGAAAGATTCAGCATCTCTGACCTGACGACTCCATGGCAGCTCTCCCTGTCTGCCTTCCTCCTCCCAGCATTCAGTTCTGTCTTCCCGCCTATCTAAGTACTGTCCTATCAAAAGGCCAAGGCAGTTTCTTTATTTAACCAATGAAAGCAACACAAAATACAAAAGGACCTCCTACACCAGAATCCCAATAACTGGGTCAAAGGGCATGGACATTTCTAAGATGTCTTGATACATTCTGTCAGGGTATTTTTCCTAATGCCCCCTCAAGCATATATAGAACATCTCCATATTATTTTACAGTTTCCAAAGCTATTCATCGTGCTAGAGAGAGAACTTACCCCCAGTTACCTGAAGACATCACCAACAGGCCTCATCTCATGAAGATTCTGCCTCCTTCCCGTATGGCCACAGACACAGGACCAAACCTTTGCATACTGGGCTCTGGGCACGTAGGATCCAGCTGTAGCTTGCATCCTTATTAGGCTTTTTTGGCTGTTGTGATTTGTTTTCTTATTTGGTGCTGAGAGGAGGACAAGGTGCTTCATGAGCACAAGGCAGTCACACTCAGTAAACTGTACCTTAGTTCTTACTTCACAGGGTCTGCCTTTCCTGGCTCGGAGGGCTGGGCTCCACCCCTGGACAGGCACAGAGGGCTGGGCTCCACCCTTGCAAGGGCACAGAGGGCTGAGCTGGTCCTCATTTTGGACAAAATTTCTTCCTAAGTGGAGTCTGGACTAGAAATGCCCGTGAGTCGGTGTTGTCCCTGACATTGTTTGACCAGTTTTCCTGGGTTTTGTGGCTGCTGCTGCTGAACTTGTAAATACCAAGACGGGAAGGAACCGTCAAAGATGTGATCTTTGGGAAAAGGAGACACAGCTGTGCTCCCTCCTCTGTTGACCACAGCTTGGCAGGGACCCTGGCAAGGGGAGCAGTGTTCGGAAAAGACATTGTCCCTGTGCCTTGGAGTGCAGTTTGGAAGAGAAAGTGAGAAAACCGCAGGACAGGCAGAGGATGCCAGCAGACACCTGAACCCTGGGGGTGAGGCGGAGGCAGAGTTGGGGGTTTCACCCTGTTTCCTAGGGAACACAAAGCCTGGTAAATCCTGAGGTGTGCTGAGCCTGCCACAGGCAGCTCCTCATTGTAGAGTGCCCCAAGCCACTGCCAGGCCTTCGTGAGTGTCCAGATCTAAACTCTAAGAACACGCATGGCCTTCAAACATGCCTGTGTGACTATGAGGGTCTTAAGAATCCTGCCAATGGAAGACTCAGATGTCCTCAACCATTTTATACGACCCATATCTTAATGGTTAATATTTATGATTGCAAATGCCACAGGGCACCCTGAAGTAACTTCAGATCATCAAAGAGATTAAATTAGATGTCAAACCATTTTCATACCAGGGGCTGCTTTGCCAGCTAAGAATTCACGCATCCACTTCATTCTTATGCTAATCCCCACTCTCAATTATTCCTGATGAATTGGAGTCCTGTGTTGGATCTCACCGAGCCTTACATTCTGATTTTTCTTTTCTTTTGTTCCCTCCCCCTTTGAAGGCCCTGGCGCTGTCACAGGAAGCCCCGTGTGGGGATGCTCTTGGCTTTGCCCTAGCTAGTCAGCACCATTTAGGAAAACACTCATTTGGTTACTCACTGCTGCGGCTCAGGGCCAAGCTTGGCTAAACAGCTGTTAGGAAGCAGGAAGGTGGGACCAGCTGTGGCCCGGGAGCACCCTAAACAAACTCAGAGTCTGAGTTTGAAAGTCACATGCTCTGACAGCAGTTTCCTAGCTGAGTCCTCTGGCCTCCCTTCAAGACTTAGCAATTCAAGCCATTTAGTGGGGGGGACGCGCAGATTTAGGATGAGCTGCAAACACTAACGACGGGGCCAGGATGTAGACCAGGAGGAAAATGAGCACTTGGGCTTTGCATGGATGGGGAGAGAGAGATGTCATTCAGAAATCAATCCTCCATTCATTGTACTCAGATATCGCCTGTGGCTTGGTATTGGTAGTCATGTCACGGCGTTTGTGACAAAAGAAAACAGCAAACTAGAATTCATTTGTATTTCCTGATATCGGTGGGAAAGGCTAGATGCGCCACACCGGTCTAGATTCAGTGTGCTGCTGAAGCAGGCTGAATTAGCCTCCTACAGCAGCTACTGTAAGGAGCATCCAGCCTCAGTCTGGCCTCAGCTTCACTGCACTAAAATTAAGGTGTCCTGAGGGCTGCCTCCCCTTCCAGAGCCATTTGGAGGGGAGATTTCTTCTCTTCCCCAGTTTTTAGAAGATGCTTA